AGTCACTCCAAAGTTTGGGTGAAATTGATGTTCTTGGTGTTGGAATGAGTGATTCAACTCCTTGAAGTTAGCAAAGTCTTCCTCCTAGCCTTCTAAAGGTAGTGGCGGAGCTAGCCCAAAAATTTAGGTGATGCCAAAAAATTCGACATATTAAATTATCAAAATATTTATTATAATTATACAAATTTATCAGAAAAAAAATTTACTCTGAATTCTAACATAGTTATCTAAATTATGTACTAAATAATGTCGCATAATATTAAAAATTCAAATGAACAATTATCGTTAGTTATATATCAAAACAAACATATAAAAATGCACTAACCTTTTTGGTAAACATTTTAAACATAAGAATTTCACTTTCCTCCCGCAACATAATAAGTAATGAACCAAACATTATCCTAAGGATATGAAAACACACAAATATAATAATTATATGTATAATAAGCATTGTCTTTCGTCTTTTTTTTCATTATCTCTATTCCTTAAATTTTCAATATCTCACGTTAGAGAACATCGCACTTGTTTGCAACAGTCATAAGCACGATGAAAAGTTCTCACATTTGGGAATTAAGTTTTTGACTATTCTTTGTGTGTGCAATAACCCAAAACACAACAGTTCAATGGACCTTCATATTCCATAATTATAGTCTTGTTATTTATTTGGTTTCATGATTGTTACTTTCAAGGGTTAAGTGTTTGTCCTTTTAAATGACACAAATTGGGTCCTTTTAGTTTTTAACACTATGTCTTACCGGTAAGACATAGTTATACCATGAAAAATTATTATTTTTCTCTAGTGATTGAGGAAATAAAAAAGAAGAAGCAATTTTTCATATTATAACCATGTTTTACCGGTAAGATATAGTGTCAAAAACTAAAGGGATACAACCTTGTGTCCTTTAAAAGGATAAACCCTTTTTTCCTACTTTTAAATGATTTTATTTGATTTAGTTGGGCCTAAATTTTGAAATAGGTCAACTAATCATTTTTGTGATTAAGTTTAAAAGTCTTTTTTTTTAAATAATAGGAGTAAGAATAAATAACATAACTCATTAGAATAAAGCAGGAAAAAAACAAATATACTGGATAAAAAATAAAAAAAAGGTAAAACACAAAAATAACCATCCTATACATGTTTCTTATTATTTGTTTGCATTTAGATAGTTTGTTGTCATTTTGTATTGAGTATTTAATTTTTTATTTAGGTGGTGCCAAATTATAATTTTTATCTTAGTTAATTAGAATTAATTTATAATAAGTAAAAAATAAATAAAAAACAAGCAGGTGCCAAGGCACCTGCTGGCATGGCTGTAGCTCCGCCGCTGTCTAAAGGGATTTGAGGTAAAGACTCTGCTTATTTCAGGTTTTCATAAAGTTTTGACAAATTTCATGTTGGGTGAATAGTGAATTTCAAAAATTATAAATTTTGTGATTATTGGTTAAATTTTGGAATTAAAGGTTGGATTGTATGTATATGGTATGAGAAAGTGCTAATTAGATGTTAACTTCAACATTTGATGGGTTCAAACACCCTTTTCTTAGCAATTACGGGAAGAAATGGTTGATTTATGGGTTCTGCCCGTGAGAGATTCGTGATGGTGAACAGTACCGTATATGTGAACAGTGAACAATATCGTATAAATAAACAGTACCCGAATTATATTTTATTTTAAAACATGTAACATTGAATGTCATGAATGCTATGATTGTTTATGAATTATGATTGATAGTTATTAATGATGTATTTGATGTGGTATGTGATTGAATTGTATTTACACCTTGAAATAGGTGTTGCTCATTGGAGATTGATTGTGTGGGTATTTTAGACATGAAGACAACTATTGTGAAGGTTGCTTGTGTTTAAAGAAATCTCCTAGAGAAAAGACTACAAGAGGTAAGCTATTAGTTTAGGAATTTTACTCCTCTTTGTTGTTCCACCATGGTCCAATAGGATTATGGTTTTAATGTGTGTATGATTGGATGAATGTTAGATACTTAGTATAGTTGAATTCATGTAGGATACGTATATATGATGATGTGATATATGGATTTGTGGTTCTTGGCCAATGAATGTATATATGTTAGACCTTCCGTGAGGACCTAAGTTATCGGAAGAATTTGTTAGGACTATCTGATGGAGGACTGAAGCTCCCAGAAATCGTATATTAGTTATGATCTATATGATGTTTACTATACTTGGTTATCTGACCTCTCGTGTAGTAAGTGAACTCAAGGGTGAAGAATTGCTCCTGAAACCCTGAGTTTACTGAGATGTTGTAATCTTATCCCGTTTGGGCAACATGTTTCAAGTATACCAGCAGCAGGAGAGGGGCCCTCACAGGGCAAGAGGCCTATGCAATGATAGGGGACATGGCTGGATTAGACTTTTAGTCTTTTGTGGATGATTGTATATGTAGTATTTTGGCATGATGTATGATCATGCACTATTGTACAGTTGACATGTGTTTCGAGAGACATGTATGTATATGATATATACAGTTATATGTCTTGATATTGGCATGTGTTAGGTTATAAGTCTAATATGTTAGAAGTATGATTAGTGGCGCGGAACCATTGTTTGTCTGAATCCATGGACGAATTCTAGGTCCATTGGTTGGAATATTTGTTATGTGTCTGTACTGGACTTTTTTTGGATTTTAGGTACCTTGTATGTTGTGGGAATTATCCCTGAATTGTCCAGTTTTCAGTTGATATGCTGTCCGTAAAATTCTATCCGGAATGGTATATGTTATCGTAAACGGATAGTCATTTGACTATTTACTATAGTTACAAGGTTAAGCATTACATGTATGAGATTGTACATTTATAATTATATGGAAAATAAGATATGTATGGCAATATGTAAGGAAAAATAAAAGGAAAAAAATTAAGTCATATAGTTACATAGGGTAACGGTAATACTTTTGATTAAGTCTTCTGCTATTTTATTTAAGTAAGATGCGCTTTAAATATCATATTGTATGTTAACTAACCTGCTTGCGACGGGCTTTACAAGCTACTTCTTTGATACTTTTTAATATTTAATTTCAAAATTTTAATTAAAATTATCAATTAATGTTTGACTAATAAGAAAAAGTTAACATTAATAGAAATTATCGTGATTAATTGCTATTGCAAAATAATTGGAAATAACTTATCAATGTGATTGCGAGATTGGAAATTTAATAAAAGTGCAGTGTGAATATAACTGATATCAACATAATCAGATGTCACCGTAAATTGAAAAAATTAAATATTCTTCGGTATCAAATTTTGTTGCCCTATCTTTTTTTTCTTTTCTTTTTTTGGTGGAGTTGTTGGCTTGTTTCCCTATCTTTACTCTAGTTAATGATGATATAATTATCAGTTGTCAAGATATAAATTAGTTAAAGAATTAATAATTTGTTATTGATAAGTTGGAAATATATTTATTATTTAATTACTTAATTAATATACATTATTAATTAATAATTAAATTATCATTAACAGATATAAAAATTTAAAGCACAAATAACATTACTATATATAAATATACAAATGGTGAGATTTCATGTGGTCATAAGGACAACAATAAATTAACAAATTTAACATGGGATTAATATTTCTCTTCTAACATGAGATAAATTTATCTCCTATAAATTTCAAAGTGATATCATTTCAGGGTTTAAAAAAATAATGCAGGGTATTTAGGAAAAAATATTATACAAGAGAAAAATAAAATTTTTAAAATATCCAATATCTTTTTCCCTAAACCCATAAATGATATTATTTTAGGGTTGCTGGAGATATTTTATCTCATATTTCAGTTAATATAATCGTCTTTTAATTAAACCATCGAGACAAAACAGAAAACAACATTATTTGTTTAGAAACTAACATGATGCATGCATGTATTAATTTCATTTCATATGTACTTTTTTTATGACAAAAGTTCTAAAGTAAAGAAATTAACATTTCATATTGAGCTTATTTATTGCTCGAGAGTTAACATGAGCCCAAATTTAATATATATATATATATATATATATATATATATATATATAGAAAAAATATTTCTCCGGCAATTTGAGATAAATTTATCTTCGGTCTCTTTAAAACTACGTTGTTTTGTTTATTTATTTTCTTATATTAATTGATTCACCATTGAATGGTTATGATTTTCTTTTTCTCTCTCTTCTTTTATCATAATTGATCTATCATTATACGGTTAGATTTAGTAGGCAGAGATAAAGTTATCTCCGGCAGCTTGAGAAATGATAAGCCCTATATATATATATATATATATGACACCAGTGTCAAATTTGAAATTTGACATATCATTTGAGAGCCATTAGATCAAAAAAGATCAATGTTGTCACATGCTTACAAATCAAAGTCGCTGATCTTTTTTAATCTAATGGCTCATGTCAAATTTTAAATTTGTGTCAAAAGAAAATAAAGATAGTACATAACCTTATCTCAAGTCACTCCTTATAATTATGTACTAAAGATAGTAAATAGTTATAATGTTAAAGTTATTTTTTCTCTTTCTCCATGTCAGCAGTTTTAAAAAGTGTATGAAGAGAGAGGGGAAAAAAATAATTTTAACATTACAGCTATGTTACCCTTAATACATAATTATAAGCGATAACTAGAAATAAGCTTATCTAAAATGGCCGGAGAAATAAGTTTATATATATATATATATATATATATAGGATTTAGTGAGTGTACATGTAAAAATCGGTCAAGTGCCCGCGAGAACACAGTTATAGTTAAATTATAACTATGTTCTCTCGTGAGAATACCCTGAAGAACACCATTGTAATATTTGGACGGTCCAGTCACTGAATTTTTTATTTTTCCATATATATATATATATATATATAACGGATTTCAACTGATGATCGACAATCGATCATCAATTTAAAATTCAGTTAAATTATTGTAATATAAATTTCCATTGAGAGTTAATATGTATATACATAAAGGCAGGGAAAAAAAAGTAAAGCAGAGAATCACAGACCGATAAAGGACTTAACACGAGCCATCATTTCATGGGTTCTGCTCTTCGAGAGCTGAGATTTGCTTAGAATCTGAAATGCATGACCAACACCTTTGAACACCACACACTCGACTATTTTACCTGCTCTTGATAGAGCATCACAGAACTCCAAGTTCCTGTCCTTCAATATGTCCATCTCTGAGATGCACACCAAAGTAGGCAAGAGCTTCAATTCTTCAAATTTCAAGGAACCTTTAACCAAAGGGTTACACCATGGATGGTCACGGTCCGCACCATATGGCAATGCCAAGCGCCAGTAAGTATCAGATGCTGCCAAGTTCAAAGCAGAGCCTGGTGATTGGGCCATGCATTTCTCTGAAACTGTTCTCACTTCCCCACCAAAAAAGGGTTGTATCAAAATCAGACCCTTCAAATTTAAAGGCCTTAAAGCAGCACCTTCACATGCAGCTAGCCTTGTGGCAACGTTGCAGGCTATGTTAGCACCTGCACTGTCCCCACCTAAGAAGATACTAGAAAAGTTGCATTTTGAAGTCCACCATTCACTAGCCTCGTATTGATATAGCATTTGTTGTTTCACCCACATTACGGCCTTTAAACCATCATCATAGGGAGCTGGGAGAGGGTTCTCTGGGGCCAATCGATAGTTCACTGACATAATCAAGCACCCAACTTTAACAGATAGCCTTGCAAGGAAATCATGGTAGCAACTCCAAGCTGCAGAACCAACACAGAATCCACCACCATGAAAATAGACCAGCAAAGGTAACTTCTGTTGGGGAATTGGAACATAGAAACGAGCCCAAGTGTTTGTAACTTTGTCAATGACTATGTCTCTCGAAGTCACATTCAGCTCCGGACTCAAATCAGCAGTGACACATGGAACAATCTGGGGTCGTTCCACATATCCATCTTTGTGTACTCTAATAAGACCTACAATTTCCTCAACCACAGAACCATGGTGTTGATAGTCTTTAGGGGTGTATTGTGGACTAAGGCTTAGACTTGAGGTGAGAGCAGCCATTATTTTTCGTGTCATATAAGAAGTGGCTGAAAAAAGAAACCAAAGGATGGAATTTATTGGAGGTGATTGGTTTGAAACTTTCTGGTTTCTTTTATTTATATACACAGGAAGTGAGATAAAAAAAAAGCATCGCAATATGGACAATTTGTGGAAGCCCTCACACGTCTCCACGTGAATTACATGTGGAGGGACATGTAAATTCTCAAGAAGTACGTATAATCATGTGGGGCAACCAACATAAGAAAGTATATATTATGTAGCATGACATAGTTGACATTTGAAGAAACAATTGAGGCTGTAGTGGAGTGCAAACACTAAGTTAGGCTGACTTTAGTTTAGGTTGCCTCCCAATAGCATCATTTCAGGAACACAGTGTTTGAGACATGACAAAGGTGAAGTTGAATTAAAGCATTCCAGATATTTCTTTCAAAGTGATAATTGAAGATCGTTTTGTGGTTTAGTTGCTTTTTGAGGCCCTCATAAGTCATAGGTCACAAAGCATCGAATATGGGAACTCCCCTGTTTTCAGGATGTCCATTGAACATGTTCATCAGTGAACACCCATATCTTTGGGACTTCAAAAAATACATAAATTGGAGTTCTATGTCAGAGCTTATTGCTAGTCCTTTTCTTTATATAGTGATAAATGCTTCTTGAATCTTGATTGTCAACGATGATTGTCTATTCAGTTACATTCATGCATCTTCTATAGCTTTTGTTATTTCAAGAGCGGAGTGCCATGTTGAGTTGAAATTGAATGATTAATTTTCCTAAAGTGGAACGAGTTGTTCAGGAATTTGATAATGGCCAAAGGCTGTGTGCCGCAGAAAATTTTGAAAAATAACAATGATGAATTTCAAAGGGCCATGGTTTTGTTTTTTCTTTTGTACTTTAAAAAAAAAAAAAATATGCCTAAATTTTTTTAAAGATATTTAGATAAATTTATTTTAAAAACCTAAAATAAAAAAAATAGTAACTTTTATAAATAAAAATTATTTTCAAAAAGATTATGTCGATCTACAAAGTAGAGTTCAAATATTAGTGTTGCGATCAAAATATGAAGTTATGACTTTGTGATTAGAATTATCAACCAATATTAAAAAAGAAAAAAGAAAAACCTATGCAGTTCTTTCTTAAATTTTTCGTTATTTCGAATCGTTGCTTGCCAAATGTTTGAGATGGCGTACTCCATAAGGCCCTTTTTTTTTTCATCTTCTAATTACTTTTCTTCGTGGACTGACTGGGTTGTCACTCCTAAATTTTGATTATTTTAATATTATATATATAATAATAATTATTCAATAATAATAAATTAATAGCGTTAATAATTAACTCTTCCTTAAAAATTATTTATAATAATTAATTCTTCTTATTATTCTTAATAACACTTATAATTTTAATATTTTATTTTTACCTCGTCACACAAAATTCTAGGTCCGCCGCTAAAGTTAGACAATTTGGTTAAAATTTTAGTCAAAACCGAACTGAAGGTCAATCAATTCAATGCTTTTTGTTGGAAAAATAATCAAATATGAAATGAAGTGAAATGACTAGCTCGAGAGAGTTATTCATAAAGAATCATATCAACCTAAAATTTTAAGATATTAGGTGATGATCTTTTTAATACTTTATATTATTCTCTAACACATCCCTCACGCAAGAGCTCTTTGAGCTTGAAGCGTGGATATGACACAAGCCCATTTTTTTTTTTGTCTACCTTGTGCTTTTCTTAATTCCACCTAAAAGTGGGGTGGTGAGAATTAAACTTGTGACCTCGTGGTCCCTGAAGCTCTGATACTATGATAAAGAACTATTTCAACCAAAAACCTTAAGGTGTTAGGTGATGGTCTTTTTAATAATTTATATTATTTTTTATATTATTCTCTAACAATTCTGAGCTTAAAGGGGAGCTGTGTGTAAATGTTCAAGAAAAGTAGAGTAACGTTTGGATAAGCTTGGAGAATCGGATATATCTCGGCCATGGTGATGACGATATTTATATGGAGGTGGTTATATTTATTATTAAAAAAAGTTTTACAATTTTTATTACTAAATTAATCATTGTTAATTTTCGTCAATCTAATAGTTATAATTTAATGGATACACTTATTAATTAGTTATTAATTTCTAATAAATCATAACCGTTAGATTGATGAAAATTAATAATGATTAATTTAATAGTAAGAGTTGTAAATCTTTTCAGTCGTAATTATAATATCTCCCTATCATATAAGGAAAAAGGATAAAAAAGATCTACACTTTAATGTGAATAAGAACTTTTAATTAATCAACGTATCAAATCCAAACAAATTAGAAAAAGGAAAAGGTTCTCAATTATATATTTTCAGGAATACAAGTTTAGATGTTTGTATTACCCAAAATAAATAAAAAATTGTAAATATAACCCTTCTTTTAGAAAAATTATATTTTGAAATTTTTTGTATATATTTTTACTTTTTAAGAGTAATAATTAGTTTTATATTAATAAATTAAGGGTTGTTGATCCAAGAAAGCTAATTATTCACATTACTTTTTTTGAGTTCTAAGTTACTTAGAGGTCGTGACTCGTGAGTCGTGAGAGTCTAATTCTTATAAATTCGTTGGAGCCAAAAAATATAATTAGGAAAAAAAATCAAAAATCTCTCATTGCAAATACTAAATTAAAGACTGATCAGTAAATTAATTATAGTTTAATTAATCGATCATCCAGTCTCATTGATTATTTTTAAAGAGTTTATAAACTATTTTTCTCTTATTTGTAACAACTTCTTCATTTTATATTTTTAAATTCATTTTTATAATTGTTATTGTTCCTTGAAGATTGAGAGTTGAGACATTTATGTTCTTTCCCTTTTAGGAGGCAGTTTATAGGAGAGGAAGATATCGAATAAAGGTCATGCAACTTCGTTAGCTTGCACTTTCTAATCTTCTTGACAATTTCCAACTGCAACTGGTGGAAGTAGATAAGATAGAATACAAGATAAAAGTGGTACTTTCTTAACTTGCTTTCACAGGCAGTCGTAGATCAAGGAATATGGAATTGTTTTATGAAAGTTACTAGGCCTAAAAGCATTGTCCTATTAGTTCTTTTTTTTCCTTCTCTTCCTCCTTATGATAAACTATAGGTTATTAAAATCCCAAGTATTATTATTTAATTATATGATTTTAGAATGAACAATTTATTTCAAGAACATAATTACACTTCACATGGGCTTTAGAGGTTTTATCAAGAGAACTTTGAGAGTTGAAACATCCCACACTTATAAAGAGGAACATAATTGCTACGTTGTTGTTGTTTATGTTACATTGACACTTCAAAAAATCGAAAGTGTCACACCCCCCAACACTCTGACACGCTCCGACATCTATAATATTTAAAATTTTATTACATATAATGAAAAAATTGATTGATGTTTTACTAAACTAATATAATAAAAATTAAAAATAAATACCGAATAAATCTCACTAAAGTGTGTAAGAGATTTTTAATTTGAAAATATAATAGTAAATATTTATAATTTATGTTTCTTTGCAAAATTGATGAGTATTACATTTTAGTTTCATTTTTTTTTGTTAAATTATTGAATATTAACATAAATTAAAAATATTATTTAATATCAAAACATGTCCTAACGTGTCGAAATCTAATATTGTTTAGAATTAATATGTTGAGTGTCATATCGTGTCATATTCCATATCCTATGTCATGTAATATCTCATATCTCTTGTCAATGTGGATGCAACATAAGTTGTTGTTGTTGAGTTTGTATGTACCGTCACCAAAGAATAAAAACTACTCAAAAACCGTGCAATTGATCCTTCAAGATTCCAAGGACCATGGTCCATGGGCCTAGTCTTTTTGTAATGTCATGTGACTCTCTGCGTTGCCTGGTGCAGAACGTCTTGTTAATTAACTTTGGGAGCATTTTCTTAGGCTGGATTTGCTAGATTGTGACAGGTAATCGTTTTGCCTCCGTTTTCTTTTGCTATCCAAAGCCCAATAAGAATGATGCTGAGATGACCCACAAATGGAATCTGCGGAAATAAACAGCTGTCCGTGGCCCATGGAATCTCAAACTTGTAAAGGTCTCCCACTCTCCACCATATATTTACTTCGCTAATAGTTACTCTTTTATTAAAAAAAAAAAAAAAAAAAAATTAAGATTCATCCAACATTTACTATAAACAAATGGATTGGATAAAATAAATTCAAACTAATTAATTTTTTTTTTTACTTTTAATAATTGAATGTACAAAATATTTTGGTGAGATTTCAGCCTGTCTCTCCTGACGTCAGATATAGAGAAATCAAAGAACAGAAGAGTCCATTTGTTAGTTTGCTATCCTGGTAAGTTGTCGCGTTGTTTGTGGTTAGCTGTATTCAATAGATTTTTATATATTTGTAAGGGTCCATTTGATTTAAAATTTGATAAAATTATTTTTGAGATTATTTTATTTGCATAATAAAAAATACTTTACACGTTATTTGCTTAGGATGATGTGTAAAGTTTCGGAGCAGACGACATGTCCCATGTGCCTTGAATTTCAACTACGGTTGGGGAATATTAATAATTAAAAATTATTAAAGGCAACATAGTATGAATTTCTCCTACGGCAAAAAGCTTGAAATTTATACAAAACAAAAAGCTTGAAATTGTCACGGCAGTTGGAATTGGCTTTACTACGCAAATGTGCGTTCATTCACCATAAAAGACAGTCCAACACGCACGTTAGTAATAAACTGGATTTTGTTGAACGCAACCTTGCTTTTGGGGTGTCTAAAATTAAAAAATAAATAAAACGGACTATAAATATTTGTCAACCCGTTTATTCATTAATCAATAAAAATATCTGAGCAACTCCCCAAGACGAATAAATTAATTATGTAATAAAATATAATTTTTAATCATTTATATTGCTTTGATTACAGATAAGAAAAAAATAATAATTATATTATCATGCACATCCTAAATGAATTCACAATTCCAAAGAGCCTAATTCACTTTATTAAAATATTTGTTTGCAAGTATTTAGTTAGGGATTTAAAATTTCGTGACAAACATTTTTTATTTATTTATTTCTTTTATCCATTCCTCGTCTCTTTAACAGGCACCAGTCTATCCATAGAGCCTTTCCTTAAACCCTAATAGATTCTAATAAAAGAAATGAAATGAACTCACAACTAAGAAAGACACCAACTTTTGAACTTTTTATAGAATCCCTCCTAACTTCAGCATATGTCATTGGGTTTCTTCTTCTTCTTCTTCTTTTTTAAGCAAGAAATTACTATTAATAATTCATTAAATTTTCTTTTAATTAATCTTCTGTACTCCATACTTTGAAATATAGAACTTGCAAAATCGATGTGATTGTGGTTTTTTTTTTTTTTAAGTACAAGTTTTTTTGTTTTTTTTTTTCACTGATCATTACTAAAATCACAATATAGAGAAATTGGAGCTTTTAGTTTCCTTTTTGTTACAATAGATGTCCAAGCACTTGGGCAGAGGAAGCAGAAAGGCGATTCGGTGAAAGATTGAACTTTGGACATCAATATCTCACCCGAATCGTAAGTGAAATTGATGGCTTGAAGCAATGTAGTCCAGGATCAATATTTAACCACGAAATATTTGGGTATAGATACAGAGAACTTATGTATAATCATGACCGCTTCATGTTATGAAATTGTATTCACCATAATACATGTGCAGACTCCTAGTTTGAATACAGTATTATGGGTAATAGTGAGCGCAGTTAATATTTTGCATGAGTCACAGATTTGAACCCTGTGCCGTTATTTTACCAAAATGAAACTACCGTAAAAGAGCATACCAAGATCAAGTAAAAAAAAATTTCTTTTAAGTTTTGAATTTCCCAATCCAAATATTAGCATATAGTGTATCCAAAAAAAAAAAAAAAGTATTAGCATATAAGTTTGACCTTTTTAATGTTAGTTATAAGAAGTGAACCAACACCAATAAGATACTCTTAATTGACGTTTCCAGTTACTTAAAACACAAACAATACAACACATATGTTGATATATTTAAATTTTTAATGCTAACCCAAACCGTAAGTATGCTTGATATTGATGTTCGGGGATGAATAATGACCATTAATGACACTAGAAAGTAACCGCCAAATCTCTTCTCATACCCTTGATTTGGCTTATAGATCCAATGAATAAATCATAAAACTTAAAGTACTCAAAGCTGCGGATAATTGGTAACGTACGAAAATGGAAATATTCTTCCAACTTGGACGCTATTGGGAATGAGATTTACACAGTCACACACATCCATGGACCCAAAACACTGACCATAACACATAGTACTCTTATTCTTCCATCTATACATAAACCTCAATACCCATTTATTTTTAAGTCCCAAGTCATAATTTCCTTACATCAAACCCAGTCCACAATTCAAGTTTCCTCAGAAAGCCAGATTAGTCTCAAATCCTGTTATGGAGATGAATTCAGATCCTACTGTTCTGTTTGAGACACAGAATGATGACGATAGTTTCTATGCTGAGATTAGGAGGCAGATTCTGCTATTGACATCTGAAGACAACGAAGATTTACAGGAAACAAGAAGTTTCAGCCCCATTAAAGGTGGTTCAAACAGGTTAAAGTACAGTTTTAACAGTGCATCACCAACTGCAAGTAATTTCTGTTCGTGGGAAACACAGAGCTCTGGTTCACCACCCGTTTGGCTAGTGAACTTGTGGAAGAATCAGAAAGGTACTGGGGTGTTCATTCCCCAAGTCTCTTGCAGGAAAAACCAACGACCAGGTACAATTTCGTTACCTACTTCACTAGTTTCATATATCAAGAAACCGCTTGAAAAAAATTGAATCTTTACTCGTGTAGTGTTTTTGGATCTTTGGCAGGAAGAATGAACAATAGAAGGAGAAAAATCTATAGACCAGTGGTGAATAAACATTGAAGATTCTATGCACACGGGTGGCAATTGAACATTGTAGATTGCTCATAATATAGTTTACACAATTATGATTCATTAGAGTGAGGAAAATTTGCCTTACTCTGATAAAAATAAATTTCCAACTTGTCATGATACCTATACACAGATCATACCCTTAATGGAGGGGAGAATAGAATTAAATTTGTGAAATTTGTTTAATTCAATTTTCCATTCTATTACATGACAAAATATCATTGAAGTGCTCATGTTTAAAGTTAGATATCGCTTTACTGCATATGGATAAGAAAGTATCTATCAATAAAGTCATGTTTTATGAGTTTTTTGCAATGCTATTTGGCAGTTAGTCAAAAGGTGACGATATGCACTCCCGCTTATGCACCTCAACTTCTATACGTAACACTTTTGCACAATATCCGCTTGAATGTGGTAATATACAAAGCACTTGTTTACAGAGATCAAGATGCAGGTAATTACCAAATCTTCTAGAGAAAATTAGATCAGCAGCTACGGAAAACGAGTTTTCTTCTGAGTCTGACCGATTATTAATCATGTTGATGCTAAGGGTGGCAACAACCCATCACAGTGTTCCTACATACTACTAGGCCTCAGTACTCTTTAGGGCACGCTAACCATAATGAATTAAGTGCTCGAAGTCGTGAAATGTAATCATTTATGACAAGGAGAGCACGAGCAACTTGGAGCGTAGTCAAAATTCTTTGCAACTGTTGCAGTGTTTGTTGCCTCAATAGGTCAGCCTAAGAAACACAACGACTATTCAGATTACAATGCATATCAAATATTGAAGGTTGTGTTTGAAAATTAGCAATGATTTATACTCTGATACATAGCACATCCTAGGCTTCCCAAGGTTTACAATGTTACAAAATAAATTTAAGAAATAGATAATACAAAGTCTATTAAATTGGGTGACCAAAGATTACATGTCTTACCTGATGCACGAAAGTCTCTAGTGTGGCAAGCTTGGCCATTGCAATTGCCATTTGGCCCATGTACTCTGCAACATTTCCAGAACCAGTGGGCCCTAAGGAGGTGGTGGAAATTGTCTCTGAAAGAGATTGTTGCAATGCTTCCATCCCTTGAGATAAAGCATCCTCAGCTTGCTGGCAAGACTGCTGCAGGTTGTAAATGCTCATCAACTGCTGATCTGACAACGGCTCAAGGTGGTTTCTAATTATCTGAATCTCCAAAGAAATGTACAGATAAAAGTGAGTCAAAAGAAAACACTTTCAACACTAAGAAAGCAAAAGTGAGTACTGAGATGGTAAACCACCTTGAGAAGTTCGGATGAACGGAATCCACCAAACCACATGAAGCATCTTTCTGCAGGTGTCTTCCACATCCCAGAAAGTATGTGAAATACATCAGCCTTTGCCCCTATGCTCTTTAACCTAAATAATTGATCATAATGTGCCATGACACTATCAACAATAAGATGCAGTTCATTGTCACTGTTATGGGAATTTATAGCTGATCTTAGGTCATTGATCAGACGTTGATGCTCATCCACCCAACGGGCATAGTCCATGTCAAATGCTAACGCACCTGGAGGTTCAAAAAACATCATCACAATCACATATTCACATTCCCTCCTATGTTCTACAAATATTTAAATCTCAACACACTTCGCTTTAGGAAATTCAGCATGAAACCTGCGCCCATAGAATTGAAGTGATATGGACTCATAAATCTAAGAAATATTCATTTAAAAAAAAAAAAAACACCTAAGGAGCTACCGAAGAGACATTTTGTGGGACAAGATCCACACATGTGAATAGTCATCTATACACCAATTACACACATCCACACATGTGAATAGTCATCTATACACCAATTACACACAACTTCAATATTTACACCGCTGACCCTCTTACAAAACTTCAGTATCTAATGCAGAGAAATTGTTGTCCCATTCTACCATTGTGTAAGTATGTATGAAATAAAAATAACAATAAGATATATTCCTTTCGCCTTCGCTGCCGCCATTTTTGTTAAGTCTTCAAAGAAAACAAGTTAGATAGGCCGTTGATAGATTCCACCACAAAGTTTCATGTTTCCAATTAACCAAGTTCACTTGAATTTCTACTTAATTGGTAAATACTTTCTGCAATTGATTGAATATGGATTGAGGATGTATATATCTATTTTGCTACTTACCAGGAATTATAAAGAAACGCATGAACTATTCGGTCATAAATTGATGCAATAACATAAAGAGTAATATAGTTTCTGTTTGAAAACATATACTCAATATAATCATTGTTTCTTGCACTGTAAGGAAATGATCCTCAAGGTCGCTACATTTTAATTACCATTTCCAACAACTGAATGACCATGATCTCCCGTAATTCCAGTTGCAATGCATACACTCTGGAGGAAATAGCAATCCATGAAGAAAATAGTTAAGTACAATGATAACAAAATTAAATTGAACCTAAATTTATCTACTGGAAATCTTCAACTTCTTACACCTGCTGACGTACTCGTTGAAGCTCTTGCTCTAAGTGCGCAAGCCTAAGTCGACTGTTCTCCAATTGTTGAACATAGGCCTATTTAAAACAAAAACATATAAATGATTCAAACATGTCCTATCTATAACCCTAAGACTTTGCTGTCCCTTGAATGTAGAAGACACAGCAGCACATCAAGAAAACAACAATTCAAAATAATCACTTGAAATATGGAATTCAAGGGGAGTTAGTTAATACATTAATCCAAAATAATTCAGTACGCATCAAGATATATATACTTCATAGATATATGAAAAAATAATCATTTGAATATATTCTTCTAAACTGTTGATCAATTATTTACTAAATTTAACACACACAATCAAGATAATGGATAGTAATAGCATCAATAAAAAACACATTCTATATATCACCGAGTTAGGATCAATTGAGAAATCTAGTATCACATGGGAGCATTACCTTTTTCCTTAAGCGACTCTTCCTTGCTGCCTCCCGATTCTGAACCAGCCTACGAAGAGTCTAGAAAAAGGAATCCACAGAAATAAAGCATCAATAATGAAACATAAATGGAATTGTTAAGCACAAGCTGTTGATGCAAGTGGTAGCAAACAACCTTCTGGTCTTCAGCTTTAACCTTAGTCTTACTTTGATCCTTGGAGTCCACAACCAAAAGTGGCCCATGCTGAACTCCATTGGACCAAGACACAGTTGAGAAACACTGTCAGAGGACATTAAGTTAAGACTCGCTCATCCATCCAAAATAAATCCATGTACTTCTTCTACTCACATTAACATTATTCAAAACTCATAAATGTATATTAAATTTCTCACAAACAACATTACTAATTCTGGTTTAACACACAAATGTTGATTGGGAAATAAAGCTTTATGCCAATGAAAAAGCAAATTGATTAAGATTAGGATATGTGGAAAAACAGAACATGCTTGAGAAGCAGAGACCCACTTGGTTTTTATCATCAATGTCAATATCTGTGGAAGTATCTTCAGTCTCTTGGCTGTTATCTACCATGGCTGAGCTACCCCAATTCTCAAGCGGCACGGCGGCGATGGTGGTTCCTTTCTGGAAAATGGGTTGCTGCCCTGCCTCTGTTGAAGCAATCTCTCCCGCTGCAAGGTTCTATACAACCATTGCATTTGATTTGAAACAAACAATTTATCAGATAAGGCACTCTCATACACAAAACTTATATACCTAAAGGAGAGAGAGAGAGAGAGAGGGAAGACTAATACTGTGTTGAATGTTCCATACTGGAAGTTACTTGCAACAACAGCAACATTGCTTGACTCTACACCAAACACAGAACCTGGTTATATTTAAAAAAAAAAAATGAAATTATTAAGAGAGAATGAGCTATATTTGTACACACAGAGAAAGAAAAGAGAGTAACTTGAGCTTAAATCGACAGCATCGTTTTGTTGAAATGAATTTTGAAGATCGGAGAAGCGCGTTGGATTTTGGCTGGTGTCATATCCCCTGTTTCAAACCAGAGAAAACAGAGCTAATCTTTTTTACGCAACAAATTTCCAATACTAAAAAAAAAAAAAGAGAGAACATAATTTGCTACATGCGAATCCAGTTTCCACCGGTATCCAGTACTACTAAAATAGCAAGAAAGAACTCGTACTAACTACAACAAGCACAACTACATAATTTACCGAAGCAAGAAGGAAGAATGAGAATAGAGTCGTGAGCTGGAATCAGTTGTCTTGAAACTTTGCATCTTCTTTTAGCTAACTGAACACACAACAAACTGTGTTTTCACTGTCTTTATGAAAGCATATTGTTGATGAGTAGTAATTATGTTAAACAAGTGGAAGCAGAAAAATGGAAATGCAAATGCAGCTTGAAGCATAAATTAAAACGTTTGATTTGATGTACCTTTAAGAAGAGGGTAGCTTATTAGTACGGCTCGTTTGTTTGTTTATAATATTTGAAGCATCTGTGTTTTTATATTATTATTGTCTTCTTCTGTCTTGGGATTTTAGTTTCCCAACGACGTAACACACAGTTCAATAACCATCTCAATCTCTTCCCCGGGTGTTGTCAGCTCTATGATCTGTTGGCTAATTATGTGATAGCAATGTCAATGAGTAACACTAAGGGCGTGTTTGGTACAGGAGAAAAAAAAAAAAATTTTACTGAGAAAATAATTTTGTCGGAATGTGATTGGAAATATTTTATTCCGGATAAGTTACAAAAATGTGTTTGGTTGATCAAAATTTATCCCAGGAATATTTGATTAAGTTTAATGAATTGATGTTTGGTTGACTGTGAAATAGTAGTAGAAATGTAGGTTATTTTACAAACATAACCCCACTTTTACTTTTTTTTCAAAATTAGTACACAAAAAGTAGGGTTAATTTAGTCAATATTATTTTAGTTGCTTTTTACTTTTCCATGCAAAAAATTATCCCACCTAAACTTTGGGTTTTCTAACAACATAACCGTACAACAATTTACACATAGCAACAAAAATCAGGCAAGTTTTTTACCAGGGAAAGATTTGCATTTGTTGCAACCAAACATAACATTTTAATTTTCCATATGAAGCTTTCCAAGGAATTTCAATATAATCTGAGTAACAAACACCCTCTAAACTTAGAGTAATACATATTATTTTAAATCTATTTTTAAGAGATTTATACTACGTACAAGGATTTAATGGGGAACTTTTTTTTTATCTTTGTTTATTTTATTATTCACTTAATGTGATTATGAAGTAATGAAATTTAAAAAAATCATATAAAGTATATGTGAATAATTATAAGAAAAAAATAAGCAACACTTAAATTAATTGTAACTAGCTTTATTTTAGCGTTAATTTAAGTAAAAATGTTGTTTATATTCATAAGATATTGTTTTTTTAGTATCAATCCTTCAATTAATGTTTAATATGCGTCTCACGTAGGTATATGGGAGAACAGTGACCAAAATGTCACTGTTGGCCAAAAAAATTACCAGAATGTCACGCCAACAGTAAATTTTGCCAAAATGTCACGTGGCATGTAGCAAAATATGTGTGCAAATAATTCGCTACACAGTGTAGCGAAATATGCCACGTCAGACTGCTCAGAACCAAAAATGCCATGTGTCAAATTGAAGAAATTCGCTACATAGGGTAGCGAATTTCTATAATTTTGACACGTGGCATTTTTGGTTCTGACGTGGCATATTTCGCTATACTGTGTAGCGAATTATTTGCACACATATTTCACTACACAGTGTAGCGAAATATGTCACGTGAAATTTTGACAAAATTTACTGTTTACGTGACAGTCTGGTAATTTTTTTGGCCAACAGTGACAAAATGTTCAGTGTTCCGTATATGGGAAAGATTGTTTGAGGAGACTTATGGGATGATTGATGAGATTGAGGGAAAGGAAGACCAAAGATACAAACATAAATTCTGTACCTTATTAGTACCGTTGTCATTTATTATTTGAACACTCAATATAAATGTTTGCTGGGTACTAAACAACAAAGAGAGAAGGAGGGGCTAGGTAGGTAGAGTTAATTAAAGTAAAAATCTTTGCTTGAAAGGAACATCTTGGCCTTGGTTTTGGGTAAACCAGAAGCGGTGCAGTGTGCGTATGGTGTTTTGGGAAGGTCCTTTAATAGCAGCAGCGTGTGTCAGAAGAACTGTGTATATTTTACGCTAATGTTACTATGTTAGCAAAGCCTCTGCGTAGGACTAGGAGGGAGAGACCTAATTTGGAAAGCTTATGTACACTTGATGACGCATTCCTTTAAACTTGACTTTTCTCTCCCGCTGTTTTGTGTCAGAATTCATTTATTCACACACTTCGGTATATAAAATTTCAGATTAAAAAATAATATATTTAACTACATTTATTTTATCTATTTTTATGGTTAATATCACATGACCTCATCTTTTTTTATATTTTTAACGAGGGTGTGTTTGGTAGGGGAGAAATTTTTTTTAACCAGGTAAATGTAAATAGTGGGGAAATAGTTGTAAACTTAGATAAGTGGGGAAATTTTAAAAATGTTATTTGGTAGACCGAAATAATACCAGGAAAATTGTATAAAATTTATTAAGATTATGTTTGGTTGAAAGTAAAAGATTGATGGGAAAATATGACAAAATTTCCAAAATACCCCTCAATATTACACCGACTTACAAGCTTTGACATCAAGATCGACTTGCAAGGTGCCATCAAAAGTGAGTAATTTCTGCATTATCCTTTCATGCGTAGAGTGTTCTTTTTTTTCGTTGTAAGGTGGGGTTCCTCGGTTGCTTTTTGAGTTTGTTATATGATTCCATGGTGTGCGGTCTGAGTTAATTGGTTTATTTTTGTTGTTAACTCGCCTTTGAAATGGTTGAATCCCATAAGTTGTGATACATATAATAATCGAAACGTTTTGGTAGGTTTTTTTGAATTCCCAATGCTGAAAAAAAAATTAATTCTTCTACACACATGGCCACTTGCAACACCAATGCATTTCAGAATGATTCCATAACAGTATGATGTTGGTTATGGCATGACAGAACAACCGACAAAAAGCTTAACACCTGTATTTGTGAGAATTCGTTTGTTTAGGGTGTTCATCAGAATAAACATTCTGGCTTCACTTACTTAAATACGTGCTGAATCATCCTCCACTTTTTCTTTAAAATGAACTCAACCATTTTTATGTCTCACTTGTCCACAGGTCAGTGAACTACATAGGAAGAAGTTTTGCAAAGGAGAGAGATAAGTGGCCAGGGGCAATAACGTAACATTTTTGGCTCCTAAAAGATCATTTCCCTAGTTTTCTTCTTATACCACCTCCAAAGTGGTGTTCTATAACAGTGTTTTGGAGCCAATTTAACACTGCTTTCAGAGATTAATGAAAAACCCATTGCCCAGCTTTATTTCTCAGACTCCTCTACCAAACATGTCTATCACAAATCGCCTCCTAGACTTACCCATCTATCCCCTTAAAAAACCCCTACCAAACACTCCCTAAGGTAGTGTTTGGTTCGGGAGAAAATTTTTTTACTAGGGAAATATAATTGATAGGAAAATTGTTGGAAAGTGAGTTTGGTAGGAAAATGTAAAAAAAGTTGTTTGGTTGACCCAAATATTACCAGGGAAGTTTATTTAAATATGCAAAATCTATGTTCGGGAGAAATTTTGCACCTGTTTTTTCACTTCTCCAGTTATCTCAAAATACCACATCTCAAGTGGTATTCTGTAACAGTGAATTTCATCCAAAAATCAACACAAAAGTCATTTTCTCATCTATCCTATTTACCTGGTATTTTTTAAAAAAACCTGAACCAAACGTGGTATTTTCCAATATCCAGTTACATTTTTCCATCAATCCCAAAATAAACCTTCAACCAAACACTACCTAAAGGAATACTAGATTGCGTTTGGATGGATTTCTAACTTTACAAAAGTTGCCTTTTTTTAAAAAAAGAAATGTTTTTACAATTTTATAATTATTTAGATATTAACTTTTAAAAAAAAGTAAAAGTCAAGAAAATAATTAAAATCTAATATTTTGAAAAAGATAAAATTTGTAGCTTTTAACAAAAGGAAAAACCGGAAGAAAGAGAATGACTCTCGTGTGAGAATTTTTGCCCTTTAGAGGGCGTTTGATACGAGAGATAATTTTTTACCGAGAAAATAAGATTGTTAAGGATTTGATAGGAATTTTTTTATATCTAGTAAGTTACAAAAAAAGTGTTTGGTTGACTAAAATTTTGCAGGGAAAATTGGATTAATTTTACTAATGCTATGTTTGGTTGAGGATAAAATATTGATAGAAATTTGAACGAAATTACAAAAATACCCATAATTTTTTAAACACGAAAAGTGAGTCATCGTTCGTCTTTTTCTCTGTCGAGGTTGGAGGCGAAAATTTAGCCTCTCCTCAAAACAGTATATTATCAAACATTGTGGTTTAACAAAAATCAGAAAAATATTGTGCTTCATAAAATAAAATATTAAAATAAAATATAAACTTGAGAGTTCATACAAGACAAGTACAAATGAGAGGTTCAGACTTTATGC